TGTGGCAAATGCATGTTTGTCTGCAAAAATTCTAAGGTACAGAACAAAGACAAACAGGACCACGATGTGTTCAATTTTTGCCAAACCCTTGTTTAACTGGGATTTTTGCTTATCAAGCCACATATATTCCTTGTATAGCTCACTGAAATATGTGTTAAATATACTTTGTCACATCACAGAGATCTTTTTCATTTATAATTGTTTTTCCACTCAATGTACATTTACCCCAATCTACATTACACTCCCTTACCTCTAATTTTTGCACAATAAATCGATTTAAGTGCAGTTTTGCCACCTCAGCACTCAGGCACTTCCACACTAAAATTACCATTTCCCATCACTATCTAAGGAATTTGAGCTCTCTAACACTTTCCACAACAAGAGCTGCTCAAGTCACGACTTATTCCCAGCTTTTAGCAGCTTTAAGGGCAGTTCTGGAGTCACACTAAGGAGTCACCCACACACCCCTGGCCAGGTAAAAGGTGACTTCACCTTGCTCTGGGCAGAGGCAACATTGTGTAACTGCTCAGGATGTGCCAAGCTGGAGCTTATCCTGCCTCCCCAGCACGGGATTCCTGGCTAGCACAGAGCTTGTGTGGGCTTGCAAGAACACCCCATTCCAGTTTTTTTAGCAAGCAAGCTGCTTGTTTTTAAAATTCGGAGTCACGTGTGTTTGTTGCTATGCCTCCACTTTCAGCTTAACCCTTTCAAAAAGAGTGAATTCATGTTGGCTTAGTCCTTGAGAGCCCAATTCTTGTTTTCTGGGAGTATTTTCTCAATATCTAAATCTCTGCCAGGCCCTAATTTTCATTTCTTCAAAAGGATTAAAAGATTCTTCAGCTTTGTAAGAAGAAAGAAACCTCAGACCAAAGACAAAGTTTGAACACACTGGGCTGTTCATTTTCAGGGCTGCCAGAAATTCATCATCCACCTGAAATCAGCAATTTATAACCCACTTGAATCATAGTTTGGGTGGTTAAAGCTCATCTTATTCCAACCCCCTGCCATGGGCAGGGACATTTTCCACCACCCCAGGCTGCCCCAAGCCCCATCTCCTCAAAACTTTCTTCAGGACTGTCATTTGTCTCAGCAAGAAAATGGGAATTGGAATAGCAGAAGAATCTTCTAAAAATATTCTTTCCTATGTAAAATAGACTTGGGCTTCATCCAGTTCCTCATCAAAGCAGAAATCACTGAGCTCAGCTGCTGTAAGGCTACAAAAATCCTTGAGCCTGAGATAACAACAGACTCTTCAATTTCCAGAACTCCTTAAAAACAACCAAACTGAGTTTAAGCACCACGATTTGATGAGCAAAAAAAACTGTGTGGGTATAGAAAAGTAAACCGGTTTAAATCCAGAAATAGATACCTTAAAAGCAAATCTTTATACAGATCCTCAATTACTGAATTATCTACTACAAAGCACTAATTATAAAGACATTACAATAGCTGAAGAAGAAAAACCCAGCCTGGTTTAACACACTTGTCAGCTCCAGTTAGCTGCACTCATTCCTTGGAAGAGATTTTACCCTGTGCCAGTCTTTGGAATCTCTCTGTTCTGCAAAACAAGTGGGAAAGCTGCTAGAAACCACAAGCTGCAACAAAAGTACAGTGAAGTCAGCACTTGTTTCATTTTTAAGCATTTTTCTCTTAATAAAAAGGCTCAGAGGTGGTTTGCTGGGCAGATTTAATGAATGCTTTGCTTTCACAAATACCACGGCTGATTCACAGGGCTGTGCCAGACTGATACACCACTGATCTCTGAGCTCATATCAGTTACACATCAATTACAGTTATGTCTGTAAGACAGAATAAACCTCCTTTGTCTGACCTGTTTAAAAAAAAAAAAAAAAAATCAATCTTTTTAACAGGTCTTGTATAGGAGATGCAAAATTACACCACAAGCAGAATGATAGTTAAAATTTTTTTAAAAGGCTACAAAGGAACCTGGAGTAATTAAAAGTCAATTTGGAGATTTTCCAAAAAAATTAATTCCCATAAACATTCCAATTGTTGCCCAGGACTTATCTATTCACTTCAATCACAATGAGTTCACACCCTCTTCTCCAAGCCCCGGCCACCGAGTAAGAATGCTTTGAGTAATCTTTGCAGCCCAGAGTAAATCCCGAGTTGATAAAGAAACTTCAGCCTTGACCTTTGCAACAGGGAGAGCAGAGGGAGCAGACAGCTCAGGAAGGGCAAACAAAAGAGGAGACAAGTCATGCTAATGATATTATCCATCCACAGAGAATCCCCGGAGCTTCACACATCCTGGAGGGGAGCTTCTGACTTACAGAGGTCATCTGGGGAAATTTGTGACAGAACTCGAAGATCTGTCACAATTAATTGAAAAGAAAAGAGTGAGCATTTTCCACACGTTATAATTTTAATTTTAACACAAGAAACCACCACCCAACCAAAGCCACCCCCCTCAAAAGCCCAAGGTTAATAAAGCAAAGCCTGCCCAGCCTCGAGGTCATCCCCTGGATTTTAAAATTGATCTTTTGTACGTGATCAAGTTACTGAAACCTGCAGAACAACATTAAGGATTGCTCAATAAAATAACTGCTGTCTCTCTCCAGCTCAGGAAAGGTCATTTCTTGGTTAAGGAATAACAGGAGAATACCTGATTTTTTTCAGCCATATGAAAAGAGACTTTTTTTAAGAGCAAGTGTTTTACATGTAGTTATTAATCCTCAAATCTCTAGAGAAATGTATAAATAATATATTCAGTTTTTAGACACAAGAAACAGCGAGGTCCATCAGTTATCACCCGGATTTTAAAAACATTCCTTAATTTTTAATGCCACATTTGAAACAGCTACAGACACTTTTCTGAAAACTTGAGAACATTTCAGTGGCAATTACACAGACACAATTTGCAAGTCAGGTCCCACACATCTCAAGTGGGGGGGATTTTATTTATTTGCTTCTCCCCATCTCCCAGGCTTGATTTCTCCCAGAGAGGATGGAAGAAAAAAAATGCTTAAATCCAAAAGTCATGGGTTGTTTCTCCAAATGTCACTCCCTGCCAGAGCAAGGCTGAGTCATGACAAGTGGGGATGTGACAGCACAGAATTCTGTTTCTAAAATTCTTTTCCCAGTTCCTAAATTGACCCTGGCATCTCAATGAGAAATGCAGCAAAGCTCTGGAGGTTTTCAAACTTGCTCTGCTTTGCAAGCAGCTCAACTGTGTTATTTACAATATTAATTACTTCTCTTTTCCCTGTTTAGTTAAAAAGTTTGCCAGAATTCCTTCAGCTCACTTGAGACACCAGAAAACTCTGAAATCCAAAGGAATTGATTTTGTAACAGAAGGCAAAGGAATTGATGGTGGATTTGGAAAAGGAAGCAGAACCTGAGCATAAATTAAGCCTCAAACTTAGAAAAACTGCAACTACAACTGACCTCCTCCTTGAGCTGATAAATTTAAGATTCTGATGGAGCTGCAGAAGCCAAGACAATTCAGCAGCAGCCTCTCAAGGGTGTCACCTGTTCCAAACCCTCACCTGTGCAGCTCGTGTTTTTGGGATCTGCTGTCTCACCGTGTGCAGGCAAACCCAGAGTGCAGTTAATGGGCCTCCACTTTCCCCTCTTCTATTAAACCACCCCATATAAATTTCCTGTGCTTCCTGCTTAGATTAGCAATGGCCATTTGTGAGGATGCAAATGAAGCATTCTTTGCTCCGGCTCTGGATTCTCACACTGAGCTCACCACCTTGTGTGGGACCTCAAGCCACTGCCAAGCCAGCCCTCCCTGCCAAGGGACACGATTTGCATGATGTGTGGCTGCCCCACGAACGTTTTTAAACACATATTAAGGACCAGAAACCAGGCATTTCATTTGCCATGTTTTAGAGAAACTACGAGTAACGTTTTGAATCCAGCTGTGGCTGACTTGGCTTCTGAGAATCTCAATTTCCTGCCATTTTTTAGAGGCTCAAATCAACACAGGGTTTTGGCAGCTGAACAATGCACATGTTCCTGGAGGAGGAGGATATCGATACAAACAAAAACACCCCCCTCCACACACACAGTCTCTGTGGTTTTAAGTAACTTATTAAAGCTCCAGTCCCTCTGTCTGTAATAAATCCTTCAGCAATGACAATGGAAGGTAAACACTGCACCTGATGATCTCTTTGCTTGTCCATTTACTACCACTTGGGTTTGAGGAGTTGAAATTATCAGAGATCAGTTAATGAATACTGACCCCTGATACACAGCTCAGCATCACATGAAAATTTAAACAAAGCTTTTCTATGTGTTGAACCGAATTTTTCTCCTGTTACCCTTAAGACCTCTTCCTTTTCTCCCCCCAGAAAACAGATGATTGACTGCAGACATGCAGCAACAGGTTTTGCCTTTTCCTGTACCATTATTTTGTTTCATGCATGTGTTTTTTTCATTTCCTCCCCCTTGCATCAAGCAATTAAATAGTCACAAGCTTAACTCTATCACTTACTACATGACTTTTCAGTTTCACAGTAATTTAACAGATTAATGCCACTTCCGACACAAACTGGTCCTTACCCTCAGCCACTTCTCCAGGGATTTTTGATCCCTGGAATGCTCCACTGTCAAGAAACTCCTAGAGCTACATCTCTCCAAAATGCTCCCTTTCACCTTCTTACACCATGACCCATTGTAAGAAAATAACTGTGAAAATTAATTTCATTCCAAAATGACAAACTGTGCTCCGCTCAAATTGTTTTGCAGATTTAGATTTCTCCTGTCCCATAGCAGCACATGAGAAAATGAATGTCCATGGACTCATTAACCACTAACATATTGTTGGGTGCAGGAAAAAAATGCAAAAGGTTTTCAAAGCAACTTCCCAGCATGGTAAAAATCAGCCTTATTTTATGAATAATGGCAAATACACTGCAGAAAGAATTTATATAATTTCTTAACTAAAAGCCTTCTCTCAAGGCCCACATTTCCTAGCTCTTAGACTCACATTTAATTTATGCAATCTGACCTTCCCAATTCAAAAATCTTACCTGGCATCTCCTTTTGAAAGGTTGGTGTTTACTGGGTGAAGAATAACCTTGTTTGCATCCACATCCACCACACATTTTGTATGCAGATCAAGCTCTATAAAGAAATGACAGAGTGTCAAGTGCTGCTCCTAAAGCACTGGGATTATATACACCATTACTTCCTCCAGACACCAAATTTATTCATGCAGTCTGACAGCCACCCATCAGCCAGAGAATAGAAACAGGACTTTTGCCAAATTCCACTTCTAGGGATATTCTGATGGGATGGATCCTGTCCAGCTTTAAAGCAAGCACTCTTTTCAAAGCAAAAAAAAAAAAAGCATTTGGGTTTCACTGAAGGACAATCAGCATATACAAGGGCAGTATGAAATTTCTTCTGGGGAGGAAAAGAACCATTTAGGCTTGGTACCACTTTGACAGCTCTTCTTATTGAGCTCTCCCTCAATGCCTCACAGGCTCGTGGGGAAAGCTGCCCTTGCCATCTGCAGCACATTTTCTGTGGCCACTGCTGTGATACAGTGCCAGCTGTCAGTCCTGGGGCACCTGCTCCCAGAAATTCAAGTCCCATCAAAAATAATTTAGGTGCAAGCACGTAGAGAAGGGCTTGTCCTTCCCCCACAGGCTCCCCTGCAAGTCCAGCTCTCCCAAGTGAGGCTCAGCAGTGAGATGTGGGCTATGAGTAATGAGGATATTTGGAGTGTGTGAGAATTCTCGGCCACAGAGGCGGGGAAAGCAAAATAAAAGCTTCAGATAACACTGACAGCAGTCCAAAGTATCCACCCAGTGACAAACTGAGCTCGGCATGGGATAAAGCACACAGCCTGCACCCAAAGTCACTGCTGTAGGACGTGGGGCTGGACACAAACAAGTCCCTGAACAGTGACACTGGCCCTGGAAAGGGCTCCCAAGTGCTGATTCCCATGGCCATGACACTCCTGACACCCAAAGTCACTGCTGTAGGACGTGGGGCTGGACACAAACAAGTCCCTGCACAGTGACATTAACCTGGAAAGGGCTCCCAAATGCTGATTCCCATGGCCATTACACACTGTTCACACCCAAAATCACTGCTACAGACACTCAGGACATGGGGCTGGACACAAACATGTCCCTGAACAGTGACACTGACCCTGGAAAGGGCTCCCAAGTGCTGATTCCCATGGCCACGACACTCTTGAAACCCAAAGTCACTGCTGTAGGACAGGGGGATGGACACAAACAAGTCCCTGCACAGTGACATTAACCTAGAAAGGGCTCCCAAGAGCTGATTCCCATGGCCATGACACACTGTTCATACACAAAGTCACTGCTACAGACACTCAGGACATGGGGCTGGACACAAACATGTCCCTGCACAGTGACATTAACCTAGAAAGGGCTCCCAAGTGCTGATTCCAATGGCCATGACTCACTGTTCACACCCTCCCACACCAGGATGACGAGGGGCTATGCTGAATAACCTCTACACAGGGTTCAGCACCTCAGCTGAATCACCCAAATACCCTCATGTCTAATCATGTTAATTATAATCCTCATCCTCCTTCATCTCTGCTCTTTCCTCCTGCACAGTCACCTGTACTTGCTCTTTCACCTCACAGCACCTTATAAACTCAGTCTGGAAATCTCTCAGGCAGAGACCACAGATCTTATTGCACAGCATCCTGCAGACTTCTCTCTCCTGATAAATGACACAATAAGAGGGAGTTTCTTCCATGAACATTTTTGAAAAGAAATCTTACAGCCTTTTTCTACCTGATATGCAGCAAAGAAAGCCAAAGCAGGCAGTCACAACAAAGTGAAATTCTCCTGAGCAAAAGTGCTCCTCTGTTATTACATTGTGCTTCTGCAGGAGGAAGAGCCAGACGAGTTCCAGAAGCCAGTGTTTATTTTAATTTCCCCCCACACCCTGAAAGCCAATTTACCTATCATTAATATGCAACACATGCTTGCTCAGATGAAACCATGTTCTTCCTACGTCCCATATCCGACAAGGCACTTTATCTTGGTCTGGCTGGTTAGTGATTAACACCCTGCATTGCAGTGACCTGCTTTTCCCAGCTCCTGAGGAAGGGTTTTACCTGCCTCATGCAAAGCATAAGGTCTGCAAGCAGCATGGTTTCTGCCACGTTTTTTAATGCAGCTCTTGAGAGAGAACACCCATGGCAGGCTTTGCATCCATGACTGCCCAGTGAACTCCATCTTACAGCGTTCATTAAACCTCTCTTTGTGAAATGCCCTTAAGAAAGCACACAGGCAGGATAAGAGATTGCCTTAAAGTCAAACGTCCTCACAAGAAAAAAAGGCTCAAAGCCAATTTGTCGTGTGCAGCACACCTTGTTTGATTATCTCACAGAGGTAATGTTAAAACCCCTCACGTTGGTGTGCTGCACGGTTTTGGAAGATGTGGTGAGCCAAACTAGCAGCAATTTCCAAACAGAGAGGTTCCAGTCCTTCCCCCCTGTGCCTGTTGCTCACCTTCTGCCACTACCACACTCAGCAGATCCTCTCTAAGTCATCTCAAGTCACTTCAGCAGCAGAAAACTACCCAGCATGGAAAATGGATATATCCAGACCCCATGGAAAACTCCATCAGCCCACTGAAAGCTTGGCCATGCAAACAGCTGGGGAGAGCAGTGCAGAGGGAAGAGAGGAGCTGGGAGAGATCTTGTCCCAGCAGAGAGGAAGTGCTCCACCAGTTCATGGTGTCACATGAAACAAACCCTTAAGAAACAGTTTTATATTGAGCCTCTAAGCTGGGTCTGGATCCAGACAGCCTTAAGGCTGCTTATCCCAGTTACCTTGGCCAAAGGCTCACATGGAAACTCTCAGCTGAAGAAACAGTTTAAATTCTGTTTGAACAGCACATCATTCACTTTCCTCAAATTCTGGCTCCATTACATTCTTTGGCAGATTTCTGAATTCTTTAATGCTTCTGGTACACTGAGAGATGAATCTTACATTAGCCACTACTGAAACTTATCATCATTTCCACTTCATTAAGTTTTTAATATCATTAAAGCAGGCTGGCCTTATAGTCAAATTATCTGCCTGCTCTTTTGGATATGATCACACAAGGACTCCACCCTTACTTTTACTAGTTTCAGTGTCTCCCAGAGGAGCTGCTCCTGAACAACAAGCAAAATTGGGATGCACCAAGATAAGATCATAACGACGCACATCCAAACATCCCAATTAATTCTTCCTGTAGTAAGGACTCACTTGTCAAAGTTTGGTATTATTTTCTTCAAGTGAGTTTTTTTCAGGCAGCATGAAATTAAGAAATTAAAGATGAAATTAAACGATGACAGAAGCGGCTCACTGTCAAACTTTGGAGATCTCAAATAAAAAGAAAATCTCACCTATTATTATTGCTAACCTGCCTCTACTTTCAGTCATTACCGAGCAAACACAATCAACTACTCATTTGCTTCATCAAATCAAGAAACTAATCAGCTAATTCCTCTTTGAAGAATTAAAACTCAAACTCTCAACATCAAGAACCATTTATTGCAGAGAATGAAAATCTCTTTCACAGCTTCAGAATAAGAGAGCTGTGACATCCATAATAAAAGGGTAACACGTATCTGAGTCACTCCTCCACATTTACATTTCACAGCTGTAGAAGTGTTAAGCAAAGCTGGGCTGAGTGTAAGAATAATTGTTAAATGTTGTGTCCAAGCTGCTCACAGAGTTCCTTGGATGAGTTTTTATTTTACTTGTGAAACTGGAAGGTGGGGGTTGAATGAAACCACTCTCCTTCCCCTTTCCCTTGATTTTTCAGCTCCTCACAAGACTTTTCTAAAACAGGGATTCAGTTGAAACCATACTTGTGTAAATCCCAAATTACTACTACGCCTTTGATAAAAGCATTGTGGGTGTTGTAAAAATAATTCACTCCCCATACAAGCTTTGGGCTTTTTCACTAAGAAATTCAGTGGGTTTCAAACAAGGTGAAAAAGTCAGCAAGCAAGAGAGAGCTGGAAAAGCAAACCCAGTGGATCCAGCAGGCACTGGCCCATTCCCACCACAGGTAAGAATTTCCAATCCCTCTGTAAAAGCAGTCACGTGTCTGGTAATAATAAACTCACCACAGCAGATTTTCCACAACAGAGTTAGGAAACGCTGGCAAAAGTGCCACTTGAAATTGTACTAATCAGGCTTGGGGCAGAGATAAGGAGTGTGTGTGAATCCTGGAGGAAGGGGAGAGAGGGATTTTTGAAAATGCTGGATGTTCTCACCTCTGGGAAATTTCTGTCTTTGTTTATGGATCAGGGAAGGAACTGTTTTCATGGACTGGCTGATAACAGAGGCTGGATAATTGTACCCAGCTCTAGAGGGTGGCACAACAAGAACACCTGAACTGCCACGTGGTGACACTGCAGCTTCCTCAGCCACCACCCTAAAAACCATCCCACCTCAGGTCACTGCATTTCAGACTCAAACAAAATGATCCCAAGAGATGGCTTTGGCAGGGCAGCTCGAAATAATCTTAAAATGAACAATGACACAGTAAATAAGGGGGTTTTAAACTCATGGTTGGGGGGGCATGGGGTAGAAAGAGCTTTTAGAACCACAACCAGAGGAGATGAAAGGTGTGTTACACATTTTGTGAGCCTCCAAAATTTTCCAGTTTACATTCCCTATTTTTTCACATTGTATGAGATGGCAGCAGAGCCTAAAGGGGCTCCTGGAGAGGGACAGGGGACAAGGGATGGAGGGACAGGACACAGGGAATGGCTTCCCACTGCCAGAGGGCAGGGATGGATGGGATATTGGGAAGGAATTGTTCCCTGGGAGGATGGTGAGGCCCTGGAATAGAATTCCCAGAGAAGCTGTGGCTGTCCCTGGATCCCTGGAAGTGTCCAAGGCCAGGTTGGATGGGGATTGGAACAACTTGGGATAGTGCAAGGTGTCCCTGCCCATGGAAGGGGGTGGAATGGGATGAGCTTTAAGGTCCTTGGCAACCCAAACCATTCCATGACTGTGAATTAAGGGAAAGCACTTCCCAATTAATCAAGAGCTTTGATTTCCATTTAAGTTTTTCCAACAGATCTCAATTTAAGAAATCACTTTATGAAGGTTGACAATTTTCCA